CTCTGCTCCAGCAGGGCTGATCCCAATTCCAGAGCTGCTGAAGGAGGGCTTCAGGCCCCACTCTTCCTTTTGGGGACACTCTGCATCTGCTTTCCTCCAAGGGGTTTCTTGGTTGGAAGAAGCACMATCATCTCTCAAACAGGGAGTGCCTACAAAATACCCTCAAAGGCTCCATCCTCACTCGCTGCCTCTCCTGTCAGCCCTACCTGCCCCTCAAATTCTGATTTAGCAGGGATTAGCCCTGCCATGTCTGACAGTTCTGATAATTACAGACCTTTTTGCCATTTTCACTCMTGTTTTTTCAATCAAAATCCTACCTTTTAACAGAGACTTTTTTTTCCCCATCAGAGTTCCTCRGTGCTGTTGGAGAAGATGTGCGAGCGGTGCTCTGATTTTAATGAGAAATGATTTTTAATGAAACCCCCCAGCCCTGATGTGCTCCCCTTTGTCTCCTCAGGAAATGGTGCTGGTGGTGTTTTTTGGGGCTGAGTACGTGGTGAGGCTGTGGTCTGCAGGCTGCAGGAGCAAATACGTCGGCTTGCAGGGCAGGATCCGCTTTGCCAGGAAACCCATATCCATCATTGGTAAGATTCCAACTCCTTCCAACCCTCCTTTTGGATGTAAATAAAGATATTAACTTTTCTGGGGCCTTAYTGCAATTCTGAGCTGCATCAACCCCTTGAGCTTGTGTCTTTGGGGTTGGTAGAACTGAGCCATTAAAATATGGAAGGCAGGCAGCAGCCTTGGAAAGGAAGGATTGCAAAGGGAGAAATGAATAAAGCTTGGCTAATTGCAGGGAATTGATAGGATTCAGAACACAAAATCCTTCCTTAGGCACAAATTCTTTGTCTGTAGAGTTGATTTGGTTCTGTGATGTAACTGTAATTTTCTTTGTGTTTTTGATTTCACTCAGAAGAGGTTCTTGGGTGGGGACAGTGGAGAAGATGCTGAGCTCAGAGAACTCTGCCTTCAAGGGATCTGTGCTGTGCCTGTGCCACAGTAAATATTCCCATTTGTTTGGGGTGATACAGAGSGTTTTAGCAGAGCTGACAATGGCTACAGGAGGCTGTGCACCCACAGGGGTCAGCTCTTSTTTGTCACCTTGGAAAATTCCCCTAAAAATTCAGGATTGGCTTTTCCCTGCCCAATGCAGTGGAACAGTGTCTGCACTGACAGAACAAACTGAACTCGGGAAATACCTTTGCTGGGAATGACTGAGTCCTATTGACTCATCCTCTCATTATCAAATCAATGAGAATGAAATACAGACACTAGGAAAAGAAATTAGAGGATTRGAACATAATGTAAAACCTTAATGCATGTATTTTATTCCTGCAGTGATATAAAACTTCATTCTAAAATCAGAAAAAATCCACTAAAATGTCTTTTTTTGATAGAGGGGAGATTTCGTCTGTGGGATTTTGTTCACACTGAAATTTAGATTAATTCTTTGAAAGTTCAACTTTAGTAGCAATTTTGAATTTCTCTAAGTTCTTCCATTATCTTTCCTTCCCTGGTTCTTGAAGGGCTCAGTAATGCTGAGTGCCCTGAAGGATAAAACACAAAAAGTGTTTAAAACTGGCAAAGGAGAGTTCACCAAAACTCCTCCTCATTCTGTCTCCTTTTGCTGCCCATTTATAATGCTATTTTTTATTTTCTGGGTACAATTTGAAAGTGAAGCATTTGGATGGTTTACCACAGAAATGCCTATGAGAAAATTAGAAAAATATCTTCTCAGAATAACATTACAGCAAGGTTCAATAATTACAAGAAGTGGACGTGGTCACTGAGAGAAAATAAGAGGTGCTGGCAGTGTGGACACAGTCTGTCATTTGTATTGATAGAGCTGGAGCTGTGGAAACTGCAGAGTTGTGGAAACAAAAAAAAAATAAGGAACTCTGGAAGCAATTATTTTTTCATACAAATAAAGACCGTATCACAAAATAAACTAACAATTCAGATTTTTTTTTCTTTTTTTTTTTTCAGCCAGCCTTTGTTCTGATGTTCTCTTAACTTTGACAGCTTGGCTTTACAGCTTTGGTACAATTTTTAAACCGAGTGTTTGTGTGTCTGTGTGCACAATACTTCATGGATGTCATTATCRAGTGGAGCAACCCTTGCATTTCCTATAAAACCAAAATTCTTGACCCAAAATATGGATTAGTTTCTAGGGGGTGCATTTGCCTTTGCTGTTTTTGTGGTGAGCTGCCTGACCCCTCGGGTTCTTTGAAACTTCTGTGAGTGAATTCATCCTGGGAGAAGCTGCACCCGCTGGGGTTTGATGGGAAACTATTACACCAGCTTAACATGCCCAGCAAATTTCAAATTTCAGCCAACAGTTTGTTTTTCTGAAGCACTTTCTTTAGTCTGTATTTGTTGTGTTTTCAGTGCTGAGATCAAAAAAAAAAAAAAAAAAAAAGGAAAGGAAAGGATGCATTGTTTCTTGTTGTGATTGATTGATTGTGTGTTTGTTTGTTTGTTGACAGATCTGATTGTGGTGGTGGCCTCAATTATCGTTCTGAGCATCGGATCCAACGGGCAGGTGTTTGCCACCTCTGCCATCAGGTGTGTGTGTCCCTCTGTGTCCCCTCAGATGTCATCAATGTCCATGGAACTGATCCATCCCCACTTCAGCTGCACAGGAAAATTCCTCTGTGGCAGGGCAGGGCACGGCAGGGTGCTGGAGTGCTTGGGAAATGAGAGAGAAAAACAGGGGGATGGAACAGCAAAATGCAAAAACCAAAACTCAGTCCAATYCAACCCTTCAAACAGCTCTGAGACAAGAGGCTGCTGCAGAGTCAGGGTTTGGTTAAGGAGTGATGCACACAGCACTTCACTCTGAGCTTTGGAGTCTGAGTGATGGCTYTGTTTAGGAGCAGTTCTGTAATTTGGGTTTGTTTGGCACCAGTAACTCGAACACATTTGGTGTGCCYGGTGTTTGTTCAGATTGTCTGCAGTAAAAAGAGATAAAGAGACAGAGACAGAAGTTCTGCTTGAACATGATGTCCCTCACCAGGCTTTTYCCCAGGCTGTCCTTAGTTTCCTCTCAAAAATGCCATGGAGCATTACAGAAGAGGTAATAATTTGTAAATTATTGTAGTATTTACTGTCCCTGCCCCTTCAGTGTGGCATTCTCGAATATCCCAATACACCCGAAATAGATGAGAAATGTTGTCCAGGACTGTTCTGTCTTAGTGAGAACTTTGAGCTGGATTTCCTGTGGAAACAAGACCTCTCCAAGGTACTGCAGTACCCAGGTATTGCAGGCTTGGGGGAGGGAAGGGGTAAATAAAGGAATGATAAGGACTGGGTGTTCTTCCCACTCCTGGCTGGATTTCCACAGTGCTCTGTGCCAAACCTCTGCTCCCAGTGCAGCACTGGGACACACTGGGGATGGTCAGTGCTGTGTGAACTGTCCAGCTCTGGGAAAAAACACCGGGGGAATCACATGTGCAACGGGGTKTGGAGGCAAATCTCACCCCAGAACGTTCATCCTTGTGGGGTGGTAAAGACTCACCCAGGCAGCAGAAATGGGATTGAGCAGCTCCTACAGGAAAAGAGGAAAATCCACATGAAAATTCCAATGGTTGTTGGTTTTGTTTTTTTTTTTAATTTAACTAGAAGCGTAGGAAGGACTTCAGTGAAAGGGCCCTCTGCGTGTTTATATGGGGTTTTTGGGTTTGAGCAGTGGGGTTTGGGTTCAGGGCAGCCCTCCCCAGACTGAAACCMCACAGTCACTGTCCTGCCCCTCAAAACACTCTGTGACAGAGCAGCCTGCCCCACATCCCTGCCAAAAAAACAGCAGGGTCAGGCAGGTCTCAATCAAAAAGCAAAACCCACATCCACAACGACATTTTAAGGATGACTAAAAAGAGCTAAGAATACTTCTCATGAAAAATTCTCAGGTGAATGAGTTCAGAATTCATCCCTGTCTGCTCTTCACTGCTTTGTGTCAGGGGTAACACAGTAAAATGACTGCAGGCAAACAAAATTCACTGTCAGAAAGGCAACKAATGGAAATATTTCCGTGGAATAAAATCATGCTGAAGAGCCATGCTGGCAATTATTTGTCTTCAGCTGAAAATATTTGGAGCTCATGATTGATTCAGTTGCTCTCCTAAAAACACTCAGGACTGTGTCTATTACTGTTAGATCAGATGGATTTCCATACACAAAACAAGAGTTTYAGTAATACCACCTTTGATTCATATTCTGCTTTTGGCAAAGTTTGCTGATATTTATGTTAGCAACTGGTTTTCCTTGGAAATGAGGTGTTCAAGAATCAGAATCATAGAAAGCATGCAAGCTTGCCCTGCTTTTSTTTGTTTTTCCATTAAGAAATTGTTCTCCTGTCAATATTTCTGAATGCATTTGCCTTCAATGCAATGTGATTAAAGACAGAGATGGGCAGGGCTGAGATACCCTGGGCAAGGGCAGTTCCATGGCTGTGACAGTCACTGCAGGGGATGTGGCAGTGCTGTCCCCAGGAATTCTGAGTGATTATTGCATTTCTGTGAATTTCCCTCGCAGGGGGATCCGCTTCCTGCAGATCCTGCGGATGCTGCACGTGGATCGCCAGGGGGGCACCTGGAGGCTCTTGGGCTCTGTGGTTTTCATCCATCGCCAGGTACCAACCTGAGCATCCCCAAATTCTGGAGATTTTGGGAAATCATCCTTGTGGGCTTCACCTCGTGRTCTGGCTAAAGGGAACTCCTGTGTTAAAGGAGAAAAAAACCACTTTAAATATCCTCCCTGTGTTTCTCTAACCTTTTAAAACAGGAAAATCTTCTTTACTGTTCAGGGTATTTGGGTTTTTTAATTAATTTTGTACTCTCTGATGTCCTCCTGCAATGTCATTTATGAAATGCAGTTTTGTGGGCTGCCTTTCACATTGCAAACTGTCTCCACAGGAGATGTGTCCCTAGCATGGTTCTATGGAGAGCCAAGCACTGGTGGGAAAGCCTTGCTACAAGAAGCCAGTTATTTAAATAATTCTAGGTTTTTTTTTCTCTTTGAATAAGGAGTTTTCTAATTCATTCTGTAAATAYAAAATATTTGCCATGTAAGAAAAGTTACTTTTTCAAGGTGTGCTCACAGAGGCAAACCTGGCTAAAAATAGTTGGATGTCTGCTAAAGCTTTGAAACAATTTTATGTGTAAAAGCTCATATAGCATGAAGAGTTTAAAGGTTTTTCTGCAGACTTCAAAATATTTCTGGTTGAAGGCTTTTTTTTTTTTGAGTCTTCATGGAATTTCTTTATGGAAAGCCAGCTTAGCTATATTAATATAATAGAAATTTATTGAATTAGCCTTTAAATCTTGCATCTCATGCTATTAATCTCCACATCCCACTTGTCAGAGTGGTTACCTTATCCTTATGTTGTAGATTCATTCTCCAGACATTTACACAGATTTCCATGCAGAATTTTTAAATTTTCTATGTAGAAAACTGTCTTTCTGCGACACAGAATGGCATCCACTTAATCCAAGTGATCAATTTAATRCTAAAAATGTATTTTCTTCCTTTTATTTTCACCCCCCCCCAGTACAGTAGGAACTTCAGTGTCACAGAAATGATGCTCTCCACAGTGCTGTGGGATAAAGCCTCCTTTCATACCATACAACAGGGTGATTTTAATGCTCCCACTCTGTGTGGTCTCCATTTATTCTGCTTGCCTTGCCTGGGTATCTTGCRAGGGCAGAGCTGATATCCAAATAACTCCTCAGCCTTTTCCAACCTTACTGACAGTGTTGCTGGAGAGCATTTTTTCCTGTGGGYGTTCAGGATTTTAGTCAAGACTCAGGAAATTCTGTCTCCAAAACACAACAYTTAAATCTTACATGTCGCAAGAGTAAAATGATTTAAAAGGGGAAGAAAAAAAAAATCCTTGGAGAAGTGAATTTATGAGTAAATGCACCTGAAGTTCTGCTTATGCAAAGCAGTGATTCTGGTGATAAATAAAGCTCCACAGATCTGTAGCACTTATCCAAGCAGATCACCCACTGACACATTAAGGAAAAAAAAATACCAAGCACACAGTTCTGTATTGACATTGGACAAGTGCAGCTGAAACCCTAAAACGGAAGGAAAAATGGAACCTTTATTCCTGTCCAGCCCATGAAAGACATTTTTGTCTCAAAATAAAAAACCAAAACCAAAACAAAAACACCTTAGCTGCTTTTCCTTCAAGGGGAGAGAGCAAAGTCCTCATCTATTTTCTTTTGCGTTCGATTCTCTTTCAGAAAAAAATGAGCCCCTAAACCCTTGAGCAATGTGAGCAAATAAATTCCCATCTCTGTGAAAACAGCAAGGGCTTGTGGGTCCAGAAGATCTCAGTAAAGCTGTCACACGATTTCCACGTGTTTTGGAATTTCACATAGAGCTGTGTTAGCTCACTCAGGTTTGGCTGGGATGCTCTGCTATTTTCAGCAGGTTGAGATGATTTGCCAGCACTCCYTGCCAAAGGCAACAAAACATGAGTCAGGATCACATGGATGGTGGAAGGCCATGGAGAAATCCTTGCTGGAAAACTGAGTGAGCCACTGGGTGTAGCTGGGGAGCTTTTGGTGAAAACCTGAYGTACTTTAAATGTAGAGGCAATCCTCCCCAGTCAGGTTCTAAATTTAAATTTACCATATTTCAATTCCCTCATTGGTTGGGGTCAAAAGAGTGAGRAATGATTGTCAGGAGCTTGAGGAAGATACCACTGAAGATGTGGCACAGTTTTGTGATAAAGATGGCYCAATATGTGCAAAGGAAAGAAAGGAATAAGGCACAGAAACTTTCAGTAATTCAAAGCTGGTTTTCCCTCATATCTGGTGTGGGATTTCCCTTGGGGGGCAGGTGGATATCTCATTTCACACTGCTGCTAAAAGCTTGATGTGTTTTTGCATCCGTGACACCACCAAATTGGTTCCTTTAAATGCACAAGTGCTTCTTTTCTCCTGCAGTGAGAATCCTGCAGCAAAGTCGCAGCAGCTCTGACACAAAAATATTATAGAAAATGGTACATTCACAAGGACTGTACAAAAATCCCTTCTAATAATCTGCCCTAGYACTGAAAACCTAACATCTGCCTAACATATGTTACCTTAAGGTTTGATTTTATCCYCACTTTTGAGGCATCACTGTTCAATCTTCAGCCATGTGAACATCAGATACAYGGGTTCACTGCTCAGATATGGCACAGTGGTTATTTCATAGTGAACTGCTCAGAAAGGGCATTTMTTTCTCAATTAAAATAGCTGCTGTGCTGTTTTCAAAATGTTCAGGCAATTCTGAGTAGGTGGCCAAGTGGATTGATTCCCATTCCATAATTAGGAGAGATGGCCCSCTCTGCAAGGATCTTGTAGAAATGATGGCTTTTTGAACTATATAGCTTGGTATAAATAAAACCCAAATTAATATATTGTTTGTTTGACTGGAGACAAATTTCACACCTGAAATATATTAATGTTTCTACTGGGATACAAAAAAAAACCACAGATATTTGCAATGTTTTACAATGATAAAGAATATAGATAGATGGATAGATGGATAGATGGATAGATAGATAGATAGATAGATAGATAGATAGATAGATAGATAGATAGATAGATAGATAGATAGATAGATAGATAGATGGATAGATATGATGAAAAGCTTATCTGCTTGTTTCCCTTTTGACAGGAGCTCATAACCACGCTGTACATTGGATTCTTGGGATTGATTTTCTCCTCCTATTTTGTTTACCTGGCTGAGAAGGATGCAGTTGATGAGGATGGAAAGACAGGTTTCTCCAGCTATGCTGATGCCCTTTGGTGGGGTGTGGTAAGTCCAGTCCTCACCAACAAAATTCRTGTGCAAACAGGGCAGAAGGTTTCTTGTTCAAGTTGTGATCTTTTTAGAAAAAAATGGCATTTCTGTCTTTGTAGAATGTATTTCTGTCGGGGAGCTTGACAACATCTTAAGAGAGATACATTAAAAAATAAAATAATGCACTTAAATTATTGGAGTAATAAATTTTATTGTGGCACTTAAATTATTGGGGTGTTAAATTTTATTGTGAAAGCAGGTTAGAAAGTTCTTAGCAGAGGACATGGAATGTTTGCAGATAAAAAAAGTCCACTTCTCAAAAAGAGGAGATAAATTCCCTTTGAAACCTTTACCACTTTGTTTAAACTCTGCTTAGTTATCTGCAAAACTTAAAAGCATCTTCTATGCTTGAAAGTTGGCTTAATGACCTATTTTTTTTATCTTTTTGTGCCAAACTCACTCTCTAGTAACAATTCAGACCTTGATGCAGGTTATAGGTCTCTGTTCTTTGTTTTTTATCTTTAACTTTGATGCTGCCTAAGCCTCCACCTCAATGAAGCACAGAAATGCAGAGTACATCACACGCAGCCTGAGCCACCTCTCTTTAAGTGGTTTACTATAAAAATATTTTAAACAAAAAAAAACCCAAAAAAAATTAAGGTCAAAAAAGTCAGGGTGTCTTTCTACGAGAGTATTTTGGACTTAGGGAATTTAAAAGGAGTTATGAAGACCAACAGAGAAGTTTAAAATGCACATTACCTTATTGAAATAGATAACTTGGGATCTGTGTGTTGAAGTATGTGGATGGGATACACAAAGGTTTTGTTATTTTCCAAAACTTGACTTGCTTCATGGAACAGCAAGATAAAATCAGCTTCTCTTGCTCTGGCTGTTGAGGAACAGTGTGCAAATCAATCATTGCTGAAGCTTTTCAGGTGTCTCAGCCTCCTCAGCATTTGGTGACTCAGTGCAGGTGCAGTTCACAGCTGGGAACAAAGGACAAAGTGAAACGATTCCTTTTACTTTTCAATCTCCTGGAACACAGAAACACAGATGTGGAGTTACTAGGGAGTAAAATTTGATTTTTTGCTTGTGCCTTTTGAAACTGAGCTACAGGAAAAAGAAAATCTTGGTGTTTGAAAGTCTTGTGTGTCTGACAAAAACCAAAGAGTGTGTTATGGGAGGGTTTTACTGTGGGGAGAAAGTGCAAGCTTGCTAAACTTGATGCAAATCACCTGAAAGGTTTAAATATGGAGAAAAGAGAAAATAAAGAGTTAATGRGAGCTGGAATTCAATGCTAACTACATTCACCTGTTTCAGTTAAAGGCAAGGTTTTTTCTCCAGGTTTGGCAGGCAAACAGTCAGTGAAAGGCACATCAAGGCATCCTCAAATCCTGTGGATTCACCTCTCTCCTGATCCTTCACTGATTCATTTTCCCTTTYATTCTTTCCAACCGTGCTTTTGGGAGCAAAAAGGCACCCCTTGCACTGAAACAGGYGTTTGTTCTGGCCCAGGTGACAGTGACAACAATTGGCTATGGAGACAAAGTTCCCCAGACGTGGATTGGGAAGACAATCGCCTCCTGCTTTTCGGTGTTTGCCATCTCCTTCTTCGCCCTGCCTGCTGTAAGTAGAGCCTGGATCCCTCCTGAGGGTGCTGCCACCTCTAGGGGTGCCTCTGGCTCCTGTAGATCAATGAACAGGGCAGATCARTTTATTGAGGGTTCACAATTCCACCGTTGAGCTGCTCATTCTCAGATTTATTTCTTGGAAAAAGCCAGAACTCTGTCACTGGAGGCATTGGAAAATTAAATTTAGAGTCTTCTGTTAAATGTCAGTTTATTAGATGTGCTCACTATTTGATTTAGGCATGTGAAGCCATATCCAAGTCTGAGTAGTAATTTYGGTTGTATTTAGGGCATTCTGGGCTCTGGTTTTGCCCTGAAGGTGCAGCAGAAGCAGCGTCAGAAGCATTTCAACAGACAGATCCCAGCTGCAGCTTCCCTCATCCAGGTAAGTGAAAAACCTCAGTTCATTGCAGAAGGAGAGTGGCCTGGAAATAAACACCATTCCTGAATTTATTATGGATCCATAACTTGTGTTTAACCACGCTGTCATTTTGATCCACTTCAGCCATTAGAGAAAATGAGATAATTGCCYTTCCCTTTGTGGAAGCTGCACTAACCTGATATTCCCAAGCGTAACTGGGTGCAGTATGTGTGGTGAAATATTAAAAAAAAAACCAACAAAATAACTTCATTATAACATTTAATTCATAAATTCTTTTTCATATTCTTGTAGGTCCCATACATCTGCCAGATCCTGAGTGTACAAACACCTGAACAAACTCTCTGTTTGTAGAACAATCTCCCAGTGTAACATTCTATGTGATTAAGGATTGAATAGCACAGTGCACRAATATTGAAGGTGGCACAGTGCAGAAAACAGCAGCTGCAGCATTCACTTTGATGAGGCTGTTTGTGTTTGATTCTTTAGTTTTGTTTTGCTGTGTTCAGGGTTTGATGKGGAGAGCACCCTGAAGATCTCTGCAGGATGATGTGCCTGTCCTGGTGCCAGTTCATCCCCCGGCTGTATTTTCTCAGGAATGGTGTTTGCCTGGGCTGAGGGTTCAGGTTTGCAGCAGAATGTGTTTTTCCTGCCRTGAGGAGCACACTGGCTGCTCACACTGAGTTCCTTCTCTGCTCCATCACAGACCCTGTGGCGCTGCTACGCCGCAGAGAAATCCTGCACCTCCACAGCCACCTGGAAGATCTATGTGACCCCAACCACACAGAACCCCAAAAAGGCTYCAGCACCACCCAGTCCCAGCCTGAGGAAACAGGTGACAATGCTGGCAGGGCTGGCTGGGGGCTGGCCTTGCCTTTTCTATCACAATTAACCTGCCAAAAGCCTAGTGGAGCTCCTGAGGAATTCAGACATGTCAAATGTTTGTGTTCCTCCTGCCACAGCAGGATTAGTTTGGTTTTCCTTAAAATATCCTGGAGGATCCCAAGCCTAGATGGTTTCATCCCCTTTGCAATCTCCTTTCTCAGAGCACGAGGCCGTGGCTCTGTGTGCACATTCTGACCATGCTTGGGCACAGCTGGGGACACAAAAACCAGGAGCAAAGGGGTAAAGCTGAACTGAGACTCCTTTGTGTATGAACAGCAGCAATYCGTGATTGGGGAGATGAAAATAAAGTATTTGCCCTCTGTTTTCTCTAGTGAGAGGGATTCCCATGATTTATTATTTATCTGAACCTCCCTGTGAGCTGTGAGCCCTCATTTAAGAACACAGTAATGGCTCTTTCACCAAAGATCATCTTCTCTTGCACTTCCTTTGTCTGTAAATTCTTGTTTTAAGGACTCACATTGATCACTTTGTGCACGCTGTAGCATTTTGGTCTCCAGAGGATTCCCAGTTTCCTTTCCTGCTTTCAAAGCCTGTAATCTTTGCTTTTAGAARGATTTTGGTGCATGTCAGTGCATCCACTGTCCACAATAAATCCCCATTTCTACCATTTCCCCCCCCCCCCCATTTAATTTTCAACATGCATTTGTTTGATTGYTGCAGAGTTGAACAGAAGAATGAATTCCAAAAGTCTGAATATAAACCATAACAAAATAAGAATTGGCTTTACTTAGATCAAGTAGCCTTGTCCCACTTGTGAATATATTGACCCCCTGCAGTTCTTTGTGTTGTTCCAAACATTAATTTTTCTTCTTTAAATATCAGTTGCAGGGTGTTTTTTAGTTTGTCTTTAGGCTTTTAAAATGAGGAGAACTTTCTGGAGGCAGGAGGGAGGATTTCTCTTCTGCTGTGCCTAATTTGGCCTTTTTGGCAAAAGGTGGAGTTTTCTTTAGTTGAAAAGGCAGCACAAGGCCTAATTCACAGCTCAAATCACGGGCTATGTTTAATCAGAGCTTTAGAAAGTTGTTACAGAGAAGGTGTTGTATCCTAAAGTCATTGGAATTTTGTATGCCTTCAGTTTTGGTCCCAGTTTGAGAAATGTTACTAAAAACGTGATTTTTCAGAATGTTCTAGGTGTCTCCTGAGAATCCAGTTCTTACCAGAATTTAGTTGGTGATGCAKAATCAGACACTTTAAAACCATAAACAAAGGTTGGAACCTCTTCACTGAATTCCAGTTTCATTCTTTAAATAAAAATCGTGCGACCTCCAGTGAATTCTCTGTATAGGGAAGTTCTCATGTGTTTGAGAGCATCCTCTGATTTCATTCCCTTCTTCCCTCCCAGGCCAGAAGATCCAGAAGGAAGGGGAAGCTGGGCTGTGGGAATGGCTCTGCTCCTGCCATAAACCCAGGAGAAAATGCCCTGTGTGTTCCCCAGATCACTTATGATCACACCGAGGAGCCAGAGGACAGGAAAGATGTGAACTTCTACATCGGTGAGACCACAGGTAATTTAATTATGCTCCATTTGTCACTTTTCAAGGGACAATCTTACAAAGGATTGCCTTGATGGGGGGAAAAGTTCTGTGAGAAAAGCAATTCTGAGCTGATCAGGGAATCAAGACGCCTCCAGCAAAGGATGGTTCATATCAAACAGGAGGACATGAGTTAAAGAAAGTCTGGAATTCATGTGGTGTGAATATCAAAAGAGTTTTCTTTTCCATCAATTCCCACCAATTAASAGTGATACACTGTTCATTATCATTTTCTGAATTATTATTATTTGAAACCTTCCTCAGACCTACCCCACCTTTTAATTTTACCCCCTTTTACCTCTGAAGGAAGGAAAATAAACCAGGAAAAAGATTTTGGGTTTGCTTTTTTTTCACAGCACCCTGTTAAACATTGTGCAAACAGACTTTTCATGCCCAAAGTGGGTTTTTTTCTCTTGATTTATTTAAAATATTGTGGTTTTATATAAATGATGGTATTTCAACATGGAAACTGAATTTCTAGTTGCTAAATTAAGATATTTGCTTTGTTAGTAAAATACTTTTTTGGATTGCTGGGTTGTGGGATTGCTGGGTTGTGGGATTGTTGGGTTGTGGGATTGTTGGGTTGTGGGATTGTTGGGTTGTGGGATTGTTGGGTTGTGGGATTGTTGGGTTGTGGGATTGTTGGGTTGTGGGATTGTGGGATTGTTGTGTTGTGGGATTGTGGGATTGTTGTGTTGTGGGATTGTGGGATTGTGGGATTGTTGTGTTGTGGGATTGTGGGATTGTTGTGTTGTGGGATTGTGGGAGTGTGGGATTATTGGATTATTGGATTGTTGGGTTATGGGATTGTTGGATTGTGGGACTGTGGGATTGTTTGTAGGATTGTGACTGTGGGATTTGAATTGCTGTTTGTCTGGCATTTCCAGAGCTCTCAGGGCTCTGGGGCAGGCATGAAGGGTGTGATATTTGTACCCACAGTTTCTGCTGTAGCTGCAGAGTGTGGTGTTCGTTCTCAGTGTGCTCTCTGGTGGATTTTCTGGCTGTGATGGGATGAAGGGTATGCTATTTGTACCCACAGTTTCTGCTGTAGCTGCAGAGTGTGCTGTTCATTCTCAGTGTGCTCTCTGGTGGATTTTCTGGCTGTGTTTCTGTGCTGTGATGGGATGAAGGGTGTGATATTTGTACCCACAGTTTCTGCTTTAGCTGCAGAGTGTGGTGTTGGTTCTCAGTGTGCTCTCTGGTGGATTTTCTGGCTGTGATGGGATGAAGGGTGTGATATTTGTACCACAGTTTCTGCTTTAGCTGCAGTGTGCTGTTCGTTCTCGGTGTGCTCTCTGGTGGATTTTCTGGCTGTGTTTCTGTGCCGTGTTGGGATGGATGGGAGCACAAMGTTTGGGATCAGTCCTGAAGGCTGCTCAGATGCTGAGGGCTCTGCTCAGAGCTCTGCCAGTGCTGTCTGTTCACTAAAGCTGTGTTCTCTCACTGCTCACAGCTTTGTGTTGCAGGAAACAGAGTGAAAAGACAAGCCTGCATCCAGGAAAATGCAAGAATTTCCCCCACTTTTTCTGAAAATGTTTTCTTCTTGTACTTTTATTATAGCTGGTCTAATTTATTCTTATTCTGAGAGACAGCCATGCATATTAGTCCCTTACCAATTAAATTTTATCTAGTTTTCATTTCCTTTCACGTTTTTCCTTAGCCAGTGTCAGGGTTAAATCACACTCAATTTGATTTTCCTGATTCATTCCTTCTGTTGCAAAGCTTCCAGGAATGCAGCTGGCAAACTCAATTTCTCAATTGACTGAACATTCTTGACACCTCTCAAAAGTTTAAACCTGATTTCTCTCAGTGCAGTTCTCCTTTGCCAGAATTAATAGGCTCCTATTCCTGGGAAGTGGAAGTACTGGGCTTCGAGCCTGTAAATGGGGGCATTTTTTCCTGTCAAAAAAGAGAATAATAATTCCAAAAAGATCATTGGAAGGAGCCATGCCAGCTTCCATTGGAGTGTTGCTGTAGTGGGATATTTTATTCCCTGCTGGTGGGGTCTGGGTGTTTTGCAGGGATGGCAAACTGCAAGGTTTGATCATTTTTATGGGTCTGACCAGGAGGAGCAGAGCTGCTGCTTTGAACCTGTGCTCTGGTCAGTGTGAGACAGGGATTGCAGGGGATCTGACATGAAAACCTGTCAAGGACAAGCTTTAAGAGTAACAGTMCCTCTAAGAAAATTCCTCATTCTGGGCAGAAATAGATAGAAATGTAGTTCAACTATCCTTGGAAAGGGAGACATTTACCTTAATTTCAGGAATGGCATTATGTGAACACACCTGTCTTCATCCAAATGAAATTTTCCTTATGATCTCCTTGTATCCACGTTCATGTATCCACATCCACCCAAATATCCCATAAATATCCCCTCCTCACTGCCATGCATCCCTCACAAAATGAACCCAATTGCTGCTTCATGATGCTTTTTATTAGGGAGGGAAAAAAATTATAGACATTTGAAAGTTTTTAGACCTTGAGGGTCAGCCTCYTGGGACAGCTGCAGCAGATGGGATCTGTTATTCTCTGTCAGCTGTTGTAGGTTGTGTACACAACTCATTATTGTTGGATTTGTCAAAGTCACTAGACTCTCGTAGTGATAAATCTCTGCTGGGCTAAAAATAAAATTCCCTATTTATCACTGTGTTCTGTTTTTTCTGTTCGCTTTTTGGAGTTTTTTTTTGTGTGCTGATGTAAGTGAAGTTTAAAGCAAAACTGCACGAGAGTAATTTATGACCTGGAGAGGGGAGAGAACTGCAATTTTCTTTTTCCTGGCCCCCTTACCTTTGTCAGCCCTCTCACGTAAAATGTGCTGTATTGTTAATGTTTTATTTTTAATAATTTAATTGTTAATTTTGGGTGGGTTTTCTTTAAATTTARTAATTTTATTATTAATGATTTATTCTGTCTGTAATGCCAGCGTGGGTGCTGACATTGCAGCGTTCACCTCTCTGGAAATGCCCTGGTTGTTCCCAGGACTGGCTGTATTCCCCACTGGGAGAAGGGTTTGGGAGAATGGTGGGGATGGATTACAGCCTGCAGTACATAAAAAGCAGCAAACATTTAAAATCAAGTGGGTTCAGAGACTCCAGTGCTGACAAGCTGAGAGAGAGGTGAGAAAAACCATGTGGCCAAAATTAACAGGATAAAGCAAACAGCAAAGCTTTGAGGGGCTGAATAGCTGTAAATAGATCTAAAATCATAAAGATATGCACCAAATTAGCTCCAGATAGCACAATTCTGACAATGCCATGCTCTTAACGRGGTGGGTTTAGATGGTGGGGGCTTTGCAGTGAGAATTTGTGTTGAATTTCTCCCTTTGTCAGTTCAGAACTGGTATTAACGGTGCTTACCCGTGTGTCAGAATTGTGGAAACACCTCTTCACCAGAACATTTCCAATCTTTACTGTTCAGCCCTGAGTGAGAACTTCCAGTGAATTCTGGGGTTTATCTTTCATGGCCAAAGTGGGTGACAGGACTGGGGGTRGGGATGGGGCAAGGGGAGGAGAACAACTCCCTCTGCCAAACCCGCTCGTACTTCTGATTAAATCTGGCAGCTTTTGAGGTTTAACAATTTATTTTCRTTCTGCATTTATTCAACTCCCTGTTGTGCCTGATTTAAGAGCAGGGCTTGGATCTCTGGTCTTGAGCAGGGACTTTGCACCAGATGTTGCCCGAGAACACGGCAGTGCAGAGTAAAGGAAAGTGTTTGCAGCTCCCTCAGACTTTTTCAAGACACTATCAGCACAGCAGTGGGGGAAAAAAAACAATAATTATGAGTTGAAAAGGAGGGACRTCCCAGAAGAGATGTTCTGTTGCCAAAATGAATATTTGAGGTAATTGTTAAAACACCAAAAATGTAGAAAATTAGAGAAACAAATAAATTGTATTTGAGTCGACATATTGACTAATACTAAAGCAGAGGCAGCTTTTGAAGTGAGGTTATAAATGGATCTGATAAACTGTGAGGTTTTGGTAAACTCTCTCCCAGTACTGATGCAGCTCTGATAATTTTTACTCTGGGATCCAGAATATACCTGGCCTTGCTRTGTGAGGCTTTGGGCAAGAGAAAGGAGCAAGAAAATCCTGTCATGGAAATCTRTTTTCAGTGGTGAAGTCAGTGAATGGGCTTCTCTTTTGTCATATTTGAGGAATCAGCATGCAGTTTTTTAAAGYCAGTAATTAAAAACCTGCGACTGTTGCAAAGATTTAATTAAAACTGTAAAAGCTCAAATTCTGCCTGTTTTGCTGGTATTTATGCCCCTCCAGTTGCTGAGGTGTCATTTGCTGCAGGAAGGAGGAAGAGGGGCAGCACACACTGAGTTGTTGAAGTCTCATGTCCTTAACAGGGAGGAGCAGTGTGATGTTGGTGGTGACAGCTTCTCCTTTCTCTCCTGGGATCCACTTGGGCTCACTTACAGATGTTTCCTAACACCTTTGTCCTGATTTCCTCGTTGCTGTGCRGCTCCAGGTTTCATCTGAATTTACCACATTATCTTCCCCTTTTTGTGTGTGAAATAGCACATTTTAGTTCTCTGTTACCCTTACAAGCAGTTTTATCCTTCTCCAGGACTGTTTTTTATCTTAAGTGGCTGTTAGTGAATCCTTCCTGGCTGTGGGGTCTCAGTGCCCCATCCCTTATCTCGTGCCTGTGTCCCACAGTGCATCCCCTGTTCCCACTTCCCAAGGACTCTGATCCTCTGCCCAGTCCGTGCTCCTGTAAACTCTSTCATTATTTGGCTGAAAATGGCTCATCCCACTAAAATAACTGCTGCAGATCTCGAGGCACGGTTGTGCCACACAAAGATAAAACAAGATGCAGACACCTGCTCAGGCAGGGAAATTGCTGTCCCAGCTAAACCAGGGTTGGGTCAGCAGAGCAGCCAGGGAAACCTCATCCCTCAGCTCTGGCAAATTTAACAGCAGTGCTAATCCAACCCAGAATAACTTGGGAGACAGAGGAGCTCCTC